GCAGCAGAGACGGCAGCAATGGCAGCGACAGGCAGTGCAGCAGCGGGAGGGGGGCGAGCAGCAGGCAGTGTCAAGGCGATTCAAGCAACGGCTCGCTTAGCCTTGCCAGCAGATGTTGTTGCAACAGGAGCAGCAGGAGCAGAAGAAGGAGTGGCAAGTACAGCAGCACCAAGAGCACTAGGAGCAGCAGCAGCATTGGGAGCAGCACCAAGAGCGGCAGTAGCACCAAGAGCAACAACAGCCGCAACGGGAGCAGCACCGAAAGCAACAACAGCAGCAACGAGAGCAGCACCACCAGCAACAGGAGAAGCAGCGAAAGCAACAGCAGCAGCAACAGGAGCAGCACCAAGAGCAACAGCGACAACAACAGCAGCAACGAGAGCAGCACCACCAGCAACGGGAGAAGCAACGAAAGCAGCACCACCAGCAACAACACCAAGAGCAACAGCAACAGGAGCAGCACCAAGAGCAACAGCGACAACAACAGCAGCAGGAGCAGCACCAAAAAGAACAGCAACAGCAATGGGAGCACCAAGAGCAACAGCATCAGCAGCAGGAGGAGGGGGGGGAGTAAACTCTGTGAAGCTGCACATCATCCCCCCTCGCCCCCCAGCCACTACCAAGGCTGCCAGCGCATCGCACACACACAATCACCACACTCACTCGCACCTCACAGCAAGACAGCCCTCCAATCCCACTCCTTCAAATGCGCCGCACCTCATGCAAAAGCACCCCACTTGTCCCGCTCCTACTGTCAATCCGGCTCCTACTGCTAAGCCGGCTCTTATTGTTAAACTTTCCACTATTTCCGCCTCTCGCGCCTCTGCAAGCACTCCCCATGCCACCTGCCTAACCCCCTCGACTGTCACCCCCGCTATTCCCTCCACTGCCCTCTCCTCTGTCCCCTCGTCTCTCCCCGCGTCTATCCCCTCTCTCCCCTCTGCCACGCACTCAGTGGCTGCACTCATACAGCCTGTGAGCTCTAGACAAGTAATCACTTCCACCTCCTTTCCTGCAGCTGCTCCTCAGAATTCTCAAAAGTAACTCTATTCCCTCATCATCCTCACTTTCCCCTCTCTCACCTCTGCCACACACTCAGTGGCCGCACTCATACCACCTGATAGCTCCAAACAAGTCTTCACTTCCACCTCCTTTGTTGCAGCTGCTTCTGCTGCCCACCTCCTTTGTTGCAGCTGCTTCTGCTGCCCACCTCCTTTGTTGCAGCTGCTTCTGCTGCCCACCTCCTTTGTTGCAGCTGCTTCTGCTGCCCACCTCCTTTGTTGCAGCTGCTTCTGCTGCCCACCTCCTTTGTTGCAGCTGCTTCTGCTGCCCACCTCCTTTGTTGCAGCTGCTTCTGCTGCCCTAAAGACCCTATTGCCATTGCCCCTCCTTTTCCTGCTTCAACTGCTGCTGTTGCCCCTAATACACCTGTCCTCCCTCCTGCCCCTGCTGCTGCTGCTCCTCCTCCTTAATTCGCTTGTTTCATTGCATGCTGTTGGGTCTTTTTTTTTTCTCTCTTTTGGCCTATATGATCCTCCCCTCACTAGAGGGTTCATATCTTTCCACGCTAACAGATGCATGTACACTGGAAACACGTAACAAATGCCTTACTGATTGCTGCTTGTGTTACGTCGTTGTGAACAATTTGAGAGCTCGTAATTTGTACGATTGCCTTACTGGTTATTGGTGGCATCGTATTGTAACAGCGTGGTACACTTGCCTCCTCCTGACTGCGACACCACTCGACCATCACAGCACCAGCAGGGAACCCCTCAGTGCAGAGCTTGCATGCACTGCGTGGAGAAAGTAGATTTTTGAGACGTCTCAAAAATCTACTTTCTACATGTGGCTTGCACGCACTGCGTGGCCGCGGCTTGGGGGACACTTCTTGTCAAATTTGCCATACTTCATGCAGCCCTTTACCGGCTGCAGGGCAGGCTAACCTAAACAGAAGCATAGTTTCGAGACATATCAAAGCTTGGGGAACACTTCTCATCAAATAGGCAAAACCTATGCAGTCTTTTACCGACTAGAGGCTATTGTAACAGAAGCTTCCTCACTTGCCTCTCCTTTTGATGACGAGACTACCCGACCAATCACAGCAGCAGCAGGGTACCCCTCTCTGTGCAGAGCTAGCAAGCAGTGAGTGGCTGTGGCTTGGGGGACGGAGAGGAGCAGCCCTCCGGCTGTTTGCGGGTCAAAGAGGAGAGGAGTGAGCGGGTGGGTGGATGCCTGGAGAAGGAGAGGAGGGGAGGGGCGATGGGGAGGGTTGGGAGGGGATTCGAGGGAAACGATTGGTAAAGAGGGTGCAAGACGTATAAGTTTCCAAATATAGTCATTCAATGCTTCCAACTCATTTCCATGTATTACCTCTCCCTTTCTTCCTCACCCCTTCATAGTTGGTGATTGCTCGTCGCAGGCGCAGGTTCGAATCCTGCAGCGAGCTGAAAATGCCCTCCTCCACACACTCCAGCCAGGCCCTCAGATTCACTTTGAGGCACGTAAGGGTATCAGGGTCCCTCTGGCCCTAGACCCTGATCGACAGGGTCGCCTAGGAAAAAAGCCTGAAAGTTCAGTGTTACTTAAAAAAAAAGTCTGATGCATCAGTGTCACCTATAGAAAAAGGCTGATAGTAGTGAAGCTGATTTTTTAACTTAAAACTCTATGAAGGTCGCAAACAGCCTTCAATCTATCTATCTGTGTTGTAAACCAAAGCCTATCTTGCTTGCTAGCTAGCTATGCATTGCATCCAGCATGACTCTGGGTCTGGGTGAGTTCAGTAATCATCATCTGATGAGGCCTGCTTGTCATCATCATCTTCTCTTCCCTTAGCCTGTCGTTCTGCCCACTCTTCCTCCTCTAGGGCCTCCTTTCCCGTGCTATCCCTGCCCTCTCCCTCTCTTTCGGGTGGTGCCGCCACATTGCCGAATGGGCGGCGCTTCTTGTAGCTGCGCCAGATCTGCACCACCTCATCGTAGTTGGGCTCGTACTCGAGTAGAGACATGGTGACGAGGTCTTCGAGGCGGGCGTCCTTCAAGCTCCCCCGCTGCCACGATTTGATAACGTTTTGGCGTGAGAAGCCGCGCTCACACTCCACTGTGCTCAGCGGCAGCACGGCGACAGCCACCCAGAGACGCACCAGATTGGGGTAGCCAGTCGCCCAGTCGCTTGTCTTCAGCATTGCTGTTAGGCCTGCGTGGAAGCTCCGCTCGTTCTTCGGGGCACCTGCGAGGATGGGGCAGAAGGCCCGCAGCTCCTTGATCGCACGCCGCTTGTCGACCCCTGCCACATAATGCGGAAGGGAGAGAGAGAGGGGGTTTTTGAAAGGCTAGCAAGTGCGTACACCATACGTTGATGAAATGCAATGACACAATAAGACGGGCAGCAACAGTGCGAGAGCGGGAATACCTGGAATGATGTAGTCCGTGTCCTGTGCCCTGAACAGCCTCACGAGAGACTCGAGCCACTCGAGACACTGCCTGTGGCGCTCTGCTCTCCCCAGCTCCCACTCGTCAGGCATGAACAGCCGCACTCCCACCAGGGAGTCCAGTTCCTGGAACCGTGTGCTGAGGTTTTCCACGAGCGTCTCGGCGAAGGTGGTGCAGAGATCGACGCAGGCGTCGTGGGAGCCGAGGGTCGGGTAGTCTTCGCTCGGCTTCTCGTGCAGCTCGAAGGTGTGTGTCGTGGGCCGCCCGTCCGAGTCGACTCCCTGCACCTTCACCTCGGGATTGCCCCCCTCAGGCCCGTGCTTCTTGATGAACGGGGAGAGGCGCGCGCTCACCCCGCCTCCAAAGTCGTCACCACAGTCGACGTAGCGGGACTCTAGGAATGAAATCGACCGGCGGATCTGCCCGTGGACACTTGCAATGTCCAGCTGTTAGGGGTCAACAGGGCGAACAGAGGATGGAGAGAAGGCCAAATCAGTGCAAAGCAGATTCTGCTTAAGCAGTACATCAAACAGTGACTCACAAACCGAAACAAGGCACACAATCCAGCAACGATAGTAACCAAGCTCACCTCACGCTGCTGGAATGCCCTGTTCAGCACATTGAGCTGCTCGAGGACGTCTGCAAGGAAGTATAGCAGAAAGTGAAACCTGTAGCTCGTGGCGAGCTCGTAGAGGGTGATGTCCCACTCATACAGCATCACGATCAGCGCGGGGAAGACCTCTACCGCGCGCAGAATGGCGTCACCGCGGGAGAGCCAGCGGACGTCGTGGATCCCTTGTAGCTCCAGGTTTGTTTTCGTGAACACCTCCTGCAGGCCAATGAAGCGTTGATGCCACGGGCCAGAACGCCCCAAATGCTCTGCCACTTGGCGGAGCAGGGAGTCCACCATGCCGAACTCGGGGAGTTGTTCAGCGGCGTCCTTTGCTGCGAGGGCCTCCCTGCATGCACACCAGCATTAAAACCGGCTCAAGGAGGGGTTAGCAGGGGATGCAGCAGGGACTGTATGGAAGCAGTAAACTGAAGATGAAAACTGACCTGTGGGCGATGCAGTGGCTCGAAACAAGATGCGGGATGCGGAGGCGAAGTCGAGCGACAAGGCCGTTGTGTTTCCCCATCATCACACTCGCTCCGTCAGTGCTTATGCCGGATATCCTCGCCATTTCAATGCCTAGGGCCTGCAGGTGGGACAAGAGCACTGAGAGGAGAGAGGCTGCATCGCCCTTCTCCACGGTCAGCAGGGCAAGGAACTCAGTCACGGGACGATTTTCACGGATGAATGTCGCGAAAACAATCATATGCTTTCCCCGACACCTGTCCGTGCTTTCGTCGCACGTGACGCCAATGTATGGGCTGCTGAGGATGTGCTGCAGTTGCGTTGTGTGCAACCATGTGGCCATCGACTGTGTCAGCTGCCCGAAGCCGTAGCTGCAGCGCATGTCAAACAACACAACGTCGAATAATTCGGTTGAGTTTCACAAACACGGTTGCAGTTAGATTAATTCAACACACACGTAGTATAAAAGGTTCCGTAGCCTTTTGCTGGGAACCCGGGCACCTTGAGTCGCGCGAGGTAGCGCACAAGATTCACCCATAACTCTATGGGTGCATCTTGCTTGGTCACGAAGAGCAGGGAGTCGAGGAGCTTGACGACCCGCTCCTTCTCCGTGTCGCGAGCGAGATTGTCGCCGTTGATCCGTGGCTGCGTAGCGGCGTCGTCGAGAAGCTTCTGCTGGTGTTTCAACGCCTCCTTGTGCTTGGTAGTTGCCGCATGCCGTTTGAACGCCTGCGTCTGAACGTCTGTGGCGCCCTTTCCGCCTCTCCCACACGGTCCAGCGTAGCCTGCGTGCTCCGTACAGATGCTGCACTTGAAAGCGGGGAAACCGTCAGCTTTTTTTAGCAGAATAAGCCAAGAAAACCGCTCGAGCCACTCGCTTTTGTACTTATACAGAGCCTCCGCGTAGGTTGCGTCTGGCCCTGCCGGTTTAGAAGGCCCAGGTGTTGAGGGCGACGCCTGCGTGCCTGCGGTCGCGGGCGTCGACAGTTGGTCGGCTGGCGAAGCCGGTGTTGCACCAGCGGGACCTCCCTTCTTGGGCCACGGCAGCGTTGACTGCGTGTACCTGGCGGACTTCTTAGCCACTGGCACCGCCGCGATTTCTTCACCTGAAGGGTTGGAGCTGTCTTGCTCCAACACGGGCGCAGTAGGGGAGGGACACAGAGGCTCGTCGATGGATTCAAATGGAACATCGACGGTCGGCGCGACTGCAGGCGCCTTTCCATGGTTATCTACTGCCGCTAAGTTGGAGAATAGCAGATCCAGCCCGGTAACGGCCGCGGACAGATCAATTGGCGAACGACGAGCGGGTTCATCGCCGGGGTCATCAGGTCGTTCAATGGCGTCCGGGTGGTCCGCCATTGATTGCGCTGTGAACAAGCAGCATCTAACGGGACTCCCTAGCTAGCTGAACGATGGAGGTTTGCCAGGAAGAGAGGACACACGGCTGACTGCCTCTTGGTACACCAGGCAGCAACGCGATGAAACCTTACACATGCTAGATGGAAGGAAAGCATGGAGCAGACTGGGGTGGGAGACTGGATGACTGGCAGCACGGCTGGGCGGCGTGGATGCATCCGTGCTTGCCAGCACGACTTAGACAAAACGGGCCAGAGGACCACAGATGCTTCACATGGGCCTGAATCCCTCGTTGCGCTGCCTGCCAGCATCGCTGTGCTGCAACCCTGTAATTGGCCAAATCAGGAAATGCTGTCAAAGTGGCCAATCATCGCACCACGCGCGCCAACAACGCATCCCTCTACGAGGCAAATTTGTCTGCTACTCACCGCCACGCCCTGCTGACACCGCGGGAATCTGATATTCCCTGTACAGCCGGGCAACTACACACGAACCGTGTAGGAATCGCTTTCAGGGTCGGATTCGTTACAACGTAGTGGAATCAGTGTCACTAAAAATTTTTTGCTGAAAGTTCAGAGTCATGTGCTAGGTGAAGGCTGAAAAATCAGCCCCACAAAAAGCTGAACACTGGAAAATCAGTGTAGGTTAAAAAAAAACCCTGGAAATCAGGAATTTCAGGGAAAAATTCCTGATATCGTAGGGCCTGACTCCAGCGCACCGTCCTAAAGAGGGGAGTGGACAGGTGAAGTTGAAAGTTAGATTGAGAGGCTTGAGACGTCTCAAACCCCTCCTACAGAGGGGAGGGGACGAGTGAGGTTGAGGGTTGGACTTGAGACGTCTCAAGCTCTAGCCATCCGCATTTAGGATTTTCGTGCTTCTAGCTCATCTCCTGGCGTGCAAATGGGTTACCAGGTGTACCAATGGGTTACCAGAATCGGAACTGTAGAGGGATCGATGGTGACTGTAACTCCAGATGCTCTAGTCATTTCCACCAGATGTCCTGTCGATGGCATGGGAAGGCACGAGGGGCGAACGGCATGTTGGATGAGACACAGGCACGATTCCGGAGACATCTGGATGATGGCAAGATATGGCCTGCACACAGGGCAGGCCATGGGTTGTATGCGTGTAGACAAGGCATGTCACATACACGTATTGCGATATGCGCATGGTGGTTGATAACCCACCAAGTAAGCCAAACCCTGTGACGTCAGTTGCAGAAGAGGCCTTGTGTTGCAATGCGATGGCCGCTGCTTTCTGGTGGCGTTTGCAGTGGAGAGGAGGGGCGGGGAGGGGAGTGGAGAGGGGATAATGGATTGGCAATAAAGGTGGCAGCAGTGGTCCTGTGCTGCAATGCAATGGCTGCTGCTTTGGCAACAGGTGGTTGAGGGTGGTGGAAACGGAGGTGGCAGTTTGCTTGCTGCTGGTTTCGAAGTTTGAATGGCATGAAGGGACCGTATCAGCCCTAAAATCACCTGATTCTGGACCGGTTTCGAGACAGCACACTACTTGAAGCATCAATCCACACCTTGGATTCACCTGGTTGGACGATAGCAGAAGGGAGGGGGGTCAGAGAGATGAAGATCGATAGAAGCAAGGAGGCAACTCTTGAGTACAAACAGGGGGCACAGGCAGATGGATAGAGGTAGTTAGGAAAACCCACCACCATATTCAAGGATAAGAGTTGGGCTAAGGGAGGCCTAGGTCTAAAGGGGCTGGGAAATTCGACGAGAGAGCCATTGGAACTACTTCTGAGCTGGGCTAAGGAGGCACCCCATTGTAGGCGCCTAAAATATGATCTTGTAACATGAGAGGAACTCATATTGTGGAAAGATGACCAGAGAGCTGTTGGAGTAATGTACTATCAGCTGCGTTTTTATTGGTGAAAGGTTTTGCTATTTGCGTAAGTTTTTGCTATTTGCGTAAGTTTTTGGCCAAGAAGAGTGTTGATTGTGAGCCCGAGGCCCAAGGCCCAAGACCCGAGCTTTTAGCTCACCAACCCCTTGTCCCACCTTGGCCTTGCATCGCATATTGGCTGCAAAGATGACTCCTGTGCCGATGGGCTTGGTGAGGATGATGGCATCTCCCTCACACATGCCCGCCTGTGTGCATGGGATGAGACAGGGATGCACTTGGTACATCAAGGGACAGACAGCCGTTCACTCAAAACAACCCCGTTCCAACCGCCTCACTGAACAATAGTAATGGTAATAATGATAATAGTTATGATCATAATGATTATGATAATAATTTATGATATCAATAGTGGTAGTGGTAATAATATTAATAACCACTCGTGTACCTTCCTCAGCAGCCGTTCACTGCATGTCAGCAAACCCCAGCGACAGCTCAGCACCCTCCACTGTGTGCCCTCCCACCAGCTGACACGTGGCAGCATCCAATTCGCGGATGGCCCCTGCCATGACCTGGAAAAGCTCCTCCTCCATCTGATGAGAGAAGAGAGGGGCGGGGAGAAGAGGAGTGGGGATTAGTAGGAGGGTTGAGGGAGCGAGGGAGAAGCAAGGGGGAGGGAGGGTGGAGGGCAGCAATGTGGCAGCAACGGGGGCTAATGACAACAGCACGACAGCTCTCTCACCTTCTCCTCGGTTCCATAGGGCAGTGTGACTATAGCGAGAGCTGACACAGGATCAGCACCCATCGCAAAGCAGTCACTGAGAGCGTGGAGAGCAGCAATGTGACAGTAACGGGGGTTACAACAGAATCACAGGGCTCACCTTCTCCTCTGTTCCATAAGGCAGTGTGACTATAGCGAGCGCTGAGACGGGGTCAGCACCCATGGCAAAGCAGTCAGTCAAAGCGTGGAGGGTGGCGATTCGACCGAATGTGTGCGGATCGGAGAGGAAGGAGCGGAAGAAGTCGACTGTCTGGACTATGACTGGGTTCTGGTGGGAGAGCGGGGGTTGGAAGAATGGAGACGGGAAGTGGGGAAGGCAGCAATTCGACCAGAGGAAGGAGCGGAAGAAGTCGACTGTTTGCACCACGACTGGATCCTGGTTGGAGTGGGGGAAGGTGAGTCGATCCATCTCCAGGTGAATCTTCAGACCTTTGAGACGTCTCCAAAGGTGAGTATCCAGATCAAGTGCATCCCACCTGACGGGTCACTTGGCTTTTGCCTGTGCTGTCAGGTGCTATTAGGATGAATCTGTTTTTTTAGAATTCTCCAAAAACGGATTTTGCCGGCAGGCAGCATCATCAGGTGAGCATATAATTCAATCCAGGAGAGATCCCAGATGCATGCCTGACATTGCCAGCCAGCTTTTTATTTCAGGTGGAATCGCCAACACAGCAGCATAGCCAGGTAATCAGGTGACTAGCCAGGAGAAATTTCACATGCACACCTGTCTGCCGCCCATGCTGTCAGGTGGGATCGCCAGCACAGCAGCATCGTCAGGCGAGTCGAGGCCCAGGAGGATTTCCGGGCGGCCAGGTGGGCGGCTGGGGAGGGCGGCGAGACGAGTGAGCACGCGGGAGAGAAGGGATGAGCCGACCTGGTGGGAAGGGAAGAGGGTAGGGAGGGGGAAAGTGTGGTGGGTTCAGGAGGGTGGCAGGATGAGTGAGGGCGGGGGAAAGAAGGGAGGAGCCGACCTGGTAGGGGTGAAGGGGGGGAGGGGGGGGTTGTGACGGGGCGAGACGGGAGGGAGGTGGGAGAGGAGGGTAAAGTGAGGAGAGAAGGAGGGTGGGTGGCTGGGAAGGCCGGTGAGTGGAGTGAGGACGCGGGGGAGTAGGGATGAGCCGATCTGGTGGAAGGGAGGGGAGTGGGGGAGGAAGTAGGGGAGTGGGTGGAGGAAAGAGGGGAGTGATGATACAATTTTTGAAGCGCCTATGAAATGAAAGGGTGGTGGAAGGGAGGATCTGTCCTGATGAGGGAGAGGTTGTGAAGTGGGAGGGCGGCAAGACGAGGCAAGATGCGAGAGCGAAAGAGCCGGCAACATCATACCTTGGAGCCACACCCCCCACAGCGCATGGACATGCTCTTGAGTGCTGAGAGTGCTTCCGGCCCGATCGCGTGTGCAGCGAAGATGGTGGGGAGAGAAGACAGGCAAGTTAGCTTAGCTATTGACACACATGGCTCACCTTGGAGCCGCAGCCCCCACAGCGCATGGCATGCCCTTGAGTGCTGAGAGCGCTTCAGGCCCGGCCGTGAGTGTGACAGGGATAGCAGGGAGAGGAACAAGTGAGCTATGCTCACGCCTTACCTTGGACCAACATCCTACACACGTCCCACCTTGGACCAACATCCTACACACGTCCCACCTTGGAGCCACACCCCCCACAGCGCATGGGAATGCTGTTGAGCGCCAGAAGAGCTTCAGGCCCCGCCGTGTGTGCAACGGGGATAGCGGGGAGAGGGGGCGATGGGTGGGGACTTACACGTCGACCTACACACATCTTACCTTGGAGTCACACCCCTCCACACCGCATGGCATGCCCTTGAGTGCTGAGAGCGCTTCAGGCCCCGCCGTGTATGCGACGGGGATAGCGGGGAGAGAAGACAGGCAAGTTAGCTTAGCTATTGACGCTCATGACTCACCTTGGAGCCACACCCCCCACAGCGCATGGGCATGCTGTTGAGCGCCAGGAGAGCTTCAGGCCCCGCCGTGTGTGCAACGGGGATGGTGGGGAGAGGGGGCGATGGCATGAAGGCATGTAAACAAAGAGCATGCAGCACCTCATGATTGATGGGAGCCCACACATCCCACACACACCCCTCACCTTAGACCCGCATTCCCTACATCGCATGGGCATGCTCTTGACTTGAGTGCTAAGAGAACTTCCGGCCCGGCCGTGTGTGCGACGGGGACGGTGGGAAGAGTGGGGAGGGAGCTATGCACACACCCTTACCTGGACCCACATCGCACATCACGTCTCACCTTGGAGCCACAACCCCCACAGCGCATGGGAATGCTCTTGAGCGCCAGGAGTGCTTCAGGCCCCGCTGTGTGTGCGACGGGGATGGTGGGAAGAGGAGGCGATGGCATGATGGGCAGCTGGCTGAAATGCCGCATGAAGGCCCGGTCGATGCGGTCCTGAGGGGTTGGAAGGATTGGGGATTGAGGTGGTGTGAGGGGGCAGAGGGGTATGTGCGGAAGGGGTGCCTCAACAGGCGATGGCATGGCAGGGAGTTGGCTGAACTGCCGCATGAAGGCCCGATCAATACGGTCCTGAGGGGTGATACGGTAATAAGGAAGGAGGTCTAGCTGCCTTCTCACCTTGAGAGTCCACATAAGACTGTCTTCAAAAGCCAAAGAGCCCCGCGAGAAGACTGCGTATTTATCACCAGTGCTGCGAGTGGGGGAATGGGAGCAAACGACAAGGTTGTGCGACAGAGAGTGCAACACTGAGTTTGTAGCAGAGGGAGTGAGTGGAACGAAGGCAGGAAGGGGCATGTCCTGCCGCACTGCAAACATGCCTGCCTTGGGCCACGTCACTAGAACAGCACGGTCACTAGGCACACAAATACATGTAAACCACCGCACCTGATGAGACTCAGAAAGGTTTTCTGCGGTCGGAAGGGCTTCAACGGCTGCTCCAGAAGCGCTCTCCTCAAGTTCTCCGCCAAAGGCATGCCCTGCCGCACTGCAAACACGCCCGCCTTAGGCCGCGGGTAAACGTCGGACGAGTGGATGTCCCCCGCAGCGAATACGCCTTTATGGCTGATAGACTCGCGTGTCCCCCACTCTGATGAAGCCGCTGCTGTCCAGGGCTAGGCCTGTTTGGGCCAGCCACGAGGCTGCTCCGCCCTGGGAGGGATTGGTGGGGGGGGTTGGAGGGAACGAGAGAGGAGGAATTGATGTCCCTCAATCCCTGCAAACACTCCTCTGTGGCTGATTAACTCGAGCGTGTTCCCCACTCTGATGAAGCCGTTGCTGTCCAGGGCTAGGTTCACATGGTTCACACACACTAACCCACCCACCTGTGTGTGCCCGCATGGTTCACACACACTAACCCACCCACCTGTGTGTGCCCGCATGGTTCACACACACTAACCCACCCACCTGTGTGCACCACTTTTGAGACGTTTCGAAAGGCACCACACACACCCATCCACCTGCGTGTACCACACACACCCATCCACCTGCGTGTACCACACACACCCATCCACCTGCGTGCACCACACACACCCATCCACCTGCGTGCACCACACACACCCATCCACCTGCGTGGCACCACACACACCCATCCACCTGCGTGGCACCACACACACCCATCCACCTGCGTGGCACCACACACACCCATCCACCTGCGTGTACCACACACACCCATCCACCTGCGTGCACCACACACACCCATCCACCTGCGTGTACCACACACACCCATCCACCTGCGTGCACCACACACACCCATCCACCTGCGTGCACCACACACACCCATCCACCTGCGTGGCACCACACACACCCATCCACCTGCGTGGCACCACACACACCCATCCACCTGCGTGGCACCACACACACCCATCCACCTGCGTGTACCACACACACCCATCCACCTGCGTGCACCACACACACCCATCCACCTGCGTGTACCACACACACCCATCCACCTGCGTGTACCACACACACCCATCCACCTGCGTGCACCACACACACCCATCCACCTGCGTGCACCACACACACCCATCCACCTGCGTGCACCACACACACCCATCCACCTGCGTGTACCACACACACTCATCGAACTCCATCTCCTCTCCATCTCCTCTCCCCCATTGTGCTTCTGACACTTGTGCCTATTGTGCTTCTGACCCTTGTGCCTATTGTGCTTCTGACCCTTGTGCCTATTGTGCTTCTGACCCTTGTGCCTATTGTGCTTCTGACCCTTGTGCTTTCTGACCCTTGTGCCTATTGTGCTTCTGACCCTTGTGCCTATTGTGCTTCTGACCCTTGTGCCTATTGTGCTTCTGACCCTTGTGCCTATTGTGCTTCTGACCCTTGTGCCTATTGTGCTTCTGACCCTTGTGCCTATTGTGCTTCTGACCCTTGTGCCTATTGTGCTTCTGACCCTTGTGCCTATTGTGCTTCTGACCCTTGTGCCTATTGTGCTTCTGACCCTTGTGCCTATTGTGCTTCTGACCCTTGTGCCTATTGTGCTTCTGACCCTTGTGCCTATTGTGCTTCTGACCCTTGTGCCTATTGTGCTTCTGACCCTTGTGCCTATTGTGCTTCTGACCCTTGTGCCTATTGTGCTTCTGACCCTTGTGCCTATTGTGCTTCTGACCCTTGTGCCTATTGTGCTTCTGACCCTTGTGCCTATTGTGCTTCTGACCCTTGTGCCTATTGTGCTTCTGACCCTTGTGCCTATTGTGCTTCTGACCCTTGTGCCTATTGTGCTTCTGACCCTTGTGCCTATTGTGCTTCTGACCCTTGTGCCTATTGTGCTTCTGACCCTTGTGCCTATTGTGCTTCTGACCCTTGTGCCTATTGTGCTTCTGACCCTTGTGCCTATTGTGCTTCTGACCCTTGTGCCTATTGTGCTTCTGACCCTTGTGCCTATTGTGCTTCTGACCCTTGTGCCTATTGTGCTTCTGACCCTTGTGCCTATTGTGCTTCTGACCCTTGTGCCTATTGTGCTTCTGACCCTTGTGCCTATTGTGCTTCTGACCCTTGTGCCTATTGTGCTTCTGACCCTTGTGCCTATTGTGCTTCTGACCCTTGTGCCTATTGTGCTTCTGACCCTTGTGCCTATTGTGCTTCTGACCCTTGTGCCTTGAAACTCAACCCTTCCTGACTCATTTCCTTGGTCACCGCCTACACTGTCACGCACACCCACCTGTGTGCACCAAACACACTCGTCAAACTCCACCTCCTCTCCCCCGTCCAAAACAAGCACCCCTCCTTGCACAGCCGACCCTCCTTGACCCCCTTCTTGTGCTTTCGACCCTTCTAGAGCCGACTCTCTGTCTTCTCCTCCACCCGCCCCACTGCTGCTTCCCCTGCTGACCTCCCCTTCCGCCCCATTCCTTTTCACTCCATCCACTCGCTCTCCACCGCTCTCCACTCCTCGTTGTCTCACTGCCACCACTGCAGCATCAAGCACCTTCACACCTGGTTCATGCATTCAAGGTTGCATGCACGTGGGGTGGCGGAGTGAATAGAATTAGATACAATAAACTTTTTACTGTGGGTCGAGAGGGGTGGTGACTAGATATCTGGTAAATATTCACGATTAATGGGCCTCAGAAGGTAACACTCCTTTTCTTAGGGACATAAGATATCATCACCATGTCATTCACCTTCAATTTACTCCCTCACTCCTCTCCCTCACTCTTCCCTCACTCACTTCTCTCCTTCAGAATCCGTCGGACAATCGATCGCACGCGTGCGTTGTGGGTGGGCAGGAGCTCCCCTCTCGTTATAAGCACAAAAGAGGCATACACCTGGCTTTTCTGTAAAACATGGACAGGAATTCCACAAAACATGGCATTGCAATAGCACAAAGTATAAGAAAATCAAAACAGGAAAACAGCTTGTATATCAAAAGTCTAAGGCAAAGCTGTAAGAATAGGGAATGGAAGAAACTGGTTACCCCCAGCTGGTTACAAAACAGCTGGTTACCAACGCTATCTGGTTACCAACGCTATGTGGTTACCAACGCTATGTGGTTACCAACGCTATGTGGTTACCAACGCTATGTGGTTACCAACGCTATGTGGTTACCAACGCTATGTGGTTACCAACGCTATGTGGTTACCAACGCTATGTGGTTACCAATGCTATGTGGTTACCAATGCTATGTGGTTACCAACGCTATGTGGTTACCAACGCTATGTGGTTACCAACGCTATGTGGTTACCAACGCTATGTGGTTACCAATGCTATGTGGTTACCAACGCTATGTGGTTACCAATGCTATGTGGTTACCAACGCTATGTGGTTACCAACGCTATGTGGTTACCAACGCTATGTGGTTACCAACGCTATGTGGTTACCAACGCTATGTGGTTACCAACGCTATGTGGTTACCAACGCTATGTGGTTACCAACCAGGCAGTCCTGCTGCAGTCGATGCTGCATACCCAGTAGCAGCTCCACTCCCCCCCCTATTGTGACGCCCAAGACCTTCCATATGCTAACCAATAGCTGGTTACTCGTAGCTGGTTACCACTAACCAGTGAGTAACTGGTTACCACAACTATCTGGTTACCACAACTATCTGGTTACCACAACTATCTGGTTACCACAACTATCTGGTTACCACAACTATCTGGGTACCACAACTATCTGGTTACCACAACTATCTGGTTACCACAACTATCTGGTTACCACAACTATCTGGTTACCACAACTATCTGGTTACCTGGCAGTCCTGCTGCAGTCGATGCTGCATGGCCAGAAGCAGCTCCACTCCACCAGCTCCCCCTCCCACCACCACCACTCGCACACTTGAGCCCTGTGAGGGAATAATGAGTGGTGAACGGTGCGGTTGGGTTGGGAGGGGCGCAGGACAGTGAATGTGGATGAGGGCAGCTCCACTCCTCCCGCTCCCCCTCTCACCACCACCACTCGCACACTGGAACCCTGATGTTCAAGGGTAAGGCGTGGTGAGGGATGCAATGGGGTTTGGTAGGGTGGAGAAAGGGAACGCGGGGGCATACTACACTCCCCCCGCTCCCCCTCCCACCACCACCACTCGCACACTGGAACCCTGATGTTCAAGGGTAAGGCGTGGTGAGGGGTGCAATGGGGTTTGGTAGGGTGGAGAAAGGGAACGCGGGGGCATACTACACTCCCCCCGCTCCCCCTGCCACCACCACCACTCGCACACTGGAACCCTGATGTTCAAGGGTAAGGCGTGGTGAGGGATGCAATGGGGTTTGGTAGGGTGGAGAAAGGGAACGTGGGGGCATACTACACTCCCCCCGCTCCCCCTCCCACCACCACCACTCGCACACTGGAACCCTGATGTTCAAGGGTAAGGCGTGGTGAGGGGTGCAATGGGGTTTGGTAGGGTGGAGAAAGGGAACGCGGGGGCATACTACACTCCCCCCGCTCCCCCTGCCACCACCACCACTCGCACACTGGAACCCTGATGTTCAAGGGTAAGGCGTGGTGAGGGATGCAATGGGGTTTGGTAGGGTGGAGAAAGGGAACGCGGGGGCATACTACACTCCCCCCGCTCCCCCTCCCACCACCACCACTCGCACACTGGAACCCTGATGTTCAAGGGTAAGGCGTGGTGAGGGGTGCAATGGGGTTTGGTAGGGTGGAGAAAGGGAACGCGGGGGCATACTACACTCCCCCCGCTCCCCCTCCCACCACCACCACTCGCACACTGGAACCCTGATGGTCAAGGGTAAGGCGTGGTGAGGGGTGCAATGGGGTTTGGTAGGGTGGAGAAAGGGAACGCGGGGGCATACTACACTCCCCCCGCTCCCCCTCCCACCACCACCACTCGCACACTGGAACCCTGATGTTCAAGGGTAAGGCGTGGTGAGGGGTGCAATGGGGTTTGGTAGGGTGGAGAAAGGGAACGCGGGGGCATACTACACTCCCCCCGCTCCCCCTCCCACCACCACCACTCGCACACTGGAACCCTGATGTTCAAGGGTAAGGCGTGGTGAGGGGTGCAATGGGGTTTGGTAGGGTGGAGAAAGGGAACGCGGGGGCATACTACACTCCCCCCGCTCCCCCTCCCACCACCACCACTCGCACACTGGAACCCTGTTGTTCAAATCAAGGCGTGGTGAGGGGTGGGTTGGGTTTGGGGCCGGGAGGACGGGGAGCAGATGGCAGGAATGCTAAAGAGGGGAAGGCACTACTGGTGGTGTGCTTGCTGGTGTGCGGGCGAGGGAGAGGATGCGCAATCGCAGGGCCTCCCAGCAGTCGGTAAACGAGTCAATGGGCTTGACTGGTAGGTGACGATGGTGTTGGGGATGATGGTGTTGGGGATGATGGTGTTCAATATGGCCTAATCTGATTCCTGAGATGCGCCTTGGGAGGGATCCATACCCTCCTACTGCTACTCACAGGGGCGAGGGAGAGGATGCGTGACCGTAAAGCCTCCCAGCGGTGAGTGAAGGAGTCGATGGGCTTCACTGGAAGGGTGAGGTCCTTGGCGCCTGGCACAGATTGCTGCTCATTCAGAGTGCGAAAGAACAAAAAGAAGGGCGGGAAACGGGGTTGGAGGCGAGGTAATTCCAAGAACGTGATTAGGGTTACTGGGGTTACCATAAAGGTAACTGGAGTCCTAAAACATCATTGGGGTAACCAGAAAGCCTAACTGAATAACACCCGTCCGCCATCTGCCCAGCACCACAGCTCCCTGCTCCAGGTCCAGGCCAGAGGCACAGTAGTGCACCAGTGGTTACTGCCAACCAAGGAGTTCGGTGTGGTTAATGAGGAGTTTGTATGGTTACCAGCGGATTGATACCAACACACGATGTGCCGCATACATGTGATCTCAACGTCAATCAATAGTACATTATAACGAATGGGGGGACGCCCATCCGCCAACACCACAGCTCGCTGCTCCAGGTCAAGGCCAGAGGCACAGCAGTGCAGCAATGGTTACTACCAACCAAGGAATCCAGTCGGTTACCATTGGGGTGATACCAGTGCGTGAGGTGACAGCATACCAGCGGGGTGATCCCAACGTCAATCGATGGAACGTCGTAGCGAATGGGGGGCCGCCCATCCTCCAGCACCACAGCTCGCTGCTCCAAACCAGTGGCGCAGCAGTGCAGCAGAGGCTACCAACCAAGGAGTTAAGAGCGGTTACCAGTGGTGTGATCCCGATGTCAATGGACAGAACATCATAACGGATGGGGGGTCTGCCATCCGCCAGCACCACAGCACGCTGTTCCAAGTCCAGCCCAGAGGCGCAGCAGTGCAGCAGGCCCTACTATTAACCAACGAGTATAGTGCGGTTCCAGGGAGTTCAGTGTGGTTACCAGAGGTGTGATCCCAATGTCAATGGACAGCACATCGTAGCGAATGGGGGGGCGCCCATCCGCCAGCACCCCAGCACGCTGATCCAAGTCAAGGCCCGATGCGCAGCAGTGCAGGAGGCGGGCGTTGGTGAGTTGAGCCAAGGGGCGCAGGTCAATGTGACAGTCGTCGTACGTGTAGTGGCCTGGGAGGGGGGTAAAGTGCGGTGTGGAGGGAGGTTAGGCCAGCAGCAGACGAGCAGCAGTGCAGCAAGCGAGCGTTGGTGAGTTGAGCCAAGGGGCGCAGGTCAATGTGACAGTCGTCGTACGTGTAGTGGCCTGGGAGGGGGGTAAAGTGCGGTGTGGAGGGAGGTTAGGCCAGCAGCAGACGAGCAGCAGTGCAGCAAGCGAGCGTTGGTGAGTTGGGCCAAGGGGTGCAGGTCAATGTGACAGTCGTCGTACGTGTAGTGGCCTGGATGGGTGGAATGTGGTGCAATGCAGTGAAATGCAGTGCGGGTGCTGTCTCACCGGCAACGAGGCCTGGCAGCATGCCGCTGTAGGGAGTATGTACGTCCCTCGTGACCAATGTGAGCCTGACACCTGGCATCGGCTTCATGGCAAAGCTCTTGAGCACCACCACGTGGCTGCATGTGGTTATGGAGAGGGGGCGCATGGGAGAAAAGGGGGGAAAGGGGGGGAATGGGGGGGGAATGGGGGATACATAAGCACGGCTGTTTCCGCTGTGTTACAGGGCTTCATGGCGAAGCGCTTGAGCACCATCACGTGGCTGCATGTGGGGAGGGGGAGGGGGAAGGGGAGGGGGAGGGGGAGGGGGAGGGGGAGGGGGAGGGGGAGGGGGAGGGGGAGGGGGAGGGGGAGGGGGAGGGGGAGGGGGAGGGGGAGGGGGAGGGGGAGGGGGAGGGGGAGGGGGAGGGGAGAGCGTGCATGGCGGGGAGGGGGAAGGGGGGACCACTGTGCTCCATGCCAACGCTCTTGAGCAGCACCACGTGGCTGCGCGTGGGGATGGAGGGGGGTTGCATGGGGGAAAAAGGGGGGAATGGGGGATACAAAAAGCACGGATGTTACCGCTGTGTGAACAGGCTTCATGGCAAGCTCTTGAGCGCCACCACGTGGCCGGCAGCATGCCGCACGCATGGTGTGGGGAGAGAAGGGAGGGAAGAAGGACGAGGAGATGGAGGCGAGATCGAGGAGGAGATGGAGGCGAGATCGAGGAGGAGATGGAGGCGAGATCGAGGAGGAGATGGAGGCGAGATCGAGGAGGAGATGGAGGCGAGATCGAGGAGGAGATGGAGGCGAGATCGAGGAGGAGATGGAGGCGAGATCGAGGAGGAGATGGAGGCGAGATCGAGGAGGAGATGGAGGCGAGATCGAGGAGGAGATGGAGGCGAGATCGAGGAGGAGATATCCAAGAAAGCCTTGCTCTGAGATGCTCTGAGGTGCTCCGGGACCAAGGAAAGGATGCTACGTAAGAGAAAGGAGTGGTGGAGAGACAATCCGGAAAAGCAATGCTTTGGCACAGTTTGAGAAGAGTAGTGGGAGCATGATGCCTTGAAGCTTCGAGGAAAGTGCACCTGTGACCTCCGCCAATCAGGACGAGATCCTTCACCACCATCGTGGGGCCAGCGGAGGCCATCGGACGGCTGCCGAGCAGCCTCGATAGCAACGAGCCCATCGGGCCGTTGGAATAGCTAATGATATTGGGACGTCGCGCACGCGGTGCGCATTGATAAAATGGAGAATATACGGTAGGTTAATATAGAAATGCCAAGTGCTCGTGTGCCAGGGATATTCCTTCCGTCTGCTGGGAAGAACGCTTCTGCGAACTATCTACGGTATTCTGAGGGTTTGCTTTCTTGTCAAATCTGCACTGACGTGTCGTCATCAGCACGAGAATTCGTTGTACTTGCCCATTGCGACTTGAGTGTGTTTAGCAGGATTCGTTACTAGATACACGCTACTGCACTTCGATTCTTGACACATAATACTTTATAGGTTATCGAAATATCACAATTATATGGATGAAGTATCCAGAATTACTAGACAGCGGCAAAAATGGGTGACCGCTGCTACCATATTTGTCCGTAAGCATACTATTTGAGAATAAAATGTTTGAAACGGACACATTCGAGCAAAAACACAGTGACAGTGCCACTGGTTATAATTCATTCATTTACACAGAAATGTTGACTACATCCCACATGCATTTAACCAACACATATGGGTTGTGCATATCATCCAGCACACACATGGCACGTTTGGATAGCGCGTCTCATCTCTTGTACGCCAATGGGGTGGTATTGCAGTTTCAGTTCCCACACAACGCAATGGGGTGGCATTATGTATTGGGTGGCATGTCGCATCTCATCTCATCTCCTGTACACCTGTGGGTGGCAACGCAGCCGAATGGCTGCCACGTCATCAGGAGTTGATCCTGTGATAGTCTTGGGAGCAATCTGGAACACCAGTGGCCAGTATTTCCCGGTGACTGCAAACAGAGTGTCGCAGAGAACAATAACGGGGATATGGCGAGGGGTAAGACATGTGATGAACGGGGGATACTCATGAGAGGGTGAGATACTTGGATGGAGAGGTGAATGATGGAGACATGGTGAAAGATGACCAGCGAGGCGCCTCAAAGGAAGGCTTGGGATGGACAAGCGGGATAACGGTAATAAGGTGAGTGCTGTCAATCATGGTAAGGGAATGGTACAGATTGACCGATGAGAAGCATAGGGCCATGCAATCAAACCGTACGACACCGTACCAAAGACGCGTCTCTGTTGTGCATCCCATGCAATGCCGTTCAGCACATCAAACTCCTGATTAGGCTTCAATTGAGCTGCTGATAGAGCCCTGCGGCATGAAGAAGGGAGAGGGGCGAGAGCAGGGGCAGAGAGAAGGGAGAGAGCGAGGCAGAGAGAGGGGAGTGAGGGTTTAACGGGAAGGATGGGCAGGGGTTGTCCTAACACACACTGCACAACCCATGCAATGCCGTTCAGCATGCCAAACTACTGGTTCTGCTTCACCTGCGCTGCTGCTAGCGCCCTGATGTGCGAGCAAGGGAGAGGAGAGAAAGCGCGGGGGCATAGAGATGAGAGTGAGCCAGGCAGCAAGAGGGGGGAGATGCTGCTAGCATGCAATCGATTTTTTCTTTTCCACAAGTCCATCCAGGCAACTACAATCGGTCTGATGCTATGAAACAATGCACAGCCGCCCAACTCTCACCATGCACGGAACAGCTGTACTGTTGGCCCTCCACATAGCCACCGATGCCTGATGATATACATTCAGGCCTGATGATATACCATGCAATTCACACGCCGCTGCATCCTCGATTCAATTTGCGCACAGCCGTCCTGCACATCATTGCACAGGCTCACTGCAAGCGAGAACAATCACAGCTCTCTGATGCTGGCGCTTACCTCAAGCGTTGCAGGTCCATCCAGGCAGCCACTCGCCCTGACAGCGGGTCGATCACAGCAACGCAGTCCGTCTGGAGCAGTGAGATGGCCAGAGGGAGAGGGGGTGAGGGGGGGGCTTTGTGACTTTTGAGTCGACTCAAGAGTCACCTCGCAGGTCCATCCAGGCAGCCACTCGCCTTGACAGCTGGTCGATCACTGCAACGCAGTCCGTCTGAGACAGTGGGATGGCCAGAGGGAGAAGGTAAGGAAGACATTCTTACTTGTATGCTTTTCACTCCCACAACCTCCACTCACCTCCCACCCTCCTCCCCTCTCCCACTTCCCCTCTCACCATCAATGGACGCAGTGAAATTCGAGTCAACTCAAAACGAGGTGATTTTTGAGTCGACTCAAAACCCACCATGTATCCACACCCACGTTCTCCACTCGCCTCTTACCATCTATACATGCATATCCTTTCCTCTCGCTCTCCCCCCCACCTTTCTCCCCTCTCACCTGCCACACATTGGCATAGATACGCCCACCGCGCACTTCCAGCTCGTTGATCCAGCCAGTGCGATCCAAACTTGCGACACTCCCATCCACCACCATGCACGCATGTCCTCCTCACCCTTCGCCCCCCTTTACCCCCTCTCCCGACCTCACCTTTCCTACCCTCCCCTCTCCCCTCTTACCTGCCACACGTTGGCGTAGATACGCCCACCCCTCACTTCCAGCTCGTTGATCCATGCTATGGGCTTTCCGCCATCCGTCACTTGCACCTTGTGCAGCGCTGCCATGGGTGGGGGAGTTGAGAGGGAGAAAGGGCAAACGGGAGAGGTTGGAAGCAGGACAGGGGGGGGGGGGCAGTGGGGGTGGGGCTGCTCCCATCCACGCAATGGGCTTTCCGCCATCCATCACTTGTACCTTGTGTAACGCTGAGATGGGTGGGTGGAGGAGGGGGAGGGGGTCGAACGGGAGGGGTAGGGATAAGGATCAGGAAGAGGGAAGCCGTGTGGGTGAAGCTGCTCGTTGATCCACGCTATAGGCTTTCCGCCATCCGTCACCTGCACCTTGTGTAGCGCTGAGATGGGTGGAAGAGGGGAAGGTGTTGGGGAGGGGGAGAGGGTAGGCAGGCAAGGGGAGAGAGAAGGCGCAATGGCCATGCCACCATCAGTCACCCCCACCGTGGGCAACGCAACAGACGGGAGGGTGACGGAGAGGAAGTGAGGGGGGAATGAAGAGGAGGTAGGCCAGCAGTTGGGCGTGTCACCTTTTTTCTCTCTCTCTCTCAGCGAGGTTTCGGAAGTGACCTACTCTTGCATCGAAGCCTATGCTGGGACGTGACCCACTCCTGAAGCGGCTTCCAATTCCACGACTTAACCTTTTAGCTTGTTGCAGTTCCACGACCTACTCAAGAAGGTCTACGGACCTACTCTTGAAAGTGGTTGCACTGATGAAGTAGATGTACGACGTGCCACCAGAGCACACCAGCAGCGACTGATGGTATGTTGACAGGCCCCACCCGTCTGTCACTCATCTGATGGGCCCTTTTACAACCTACAATGACGCGACGCTTGTTGCATTTTGGTAGCCTGATTATACATGTACTCTTGAAGGTGGTTGCGCTGATGAAGTAGATGTAGGAGGTGCGATCGGTTGTATGTTGACAGGCCCCACCCGTCAGTCAGTCACTCACTTGGAGCACCCGTTGTGCCCTTACATGACCTATGCACCTACTCTTGAAGGTGGTTGCGCTGATGAAGTAGATGTAGGAGGTGCCATCGGAGCCAAACAGCAGCGATCGGTTGTACGTTGACAGGCCCCATCCATCCGTCATCTGGTGGCGGAAGCTGCCTGGAAGGAGCCACATGAAAGAAAGAGCGAAACGGGGGTAAGAGTGTCAGAGGGAGGAGGTTGGGTGAGGCGAGTCAGGGATTCTTGGTTCTTAAGAACAATAGCAAAGATCATGACTGCTGGTTTCACAAATCGTGTGAAGGAGTCCCTTCTTGAGAATTCTCAAAAGGTGACCCACCTCCCGTTCTTCTCTCAGTCTCACACGTCTTTCTTTTGCTCTTTCAGAGCCAGAGAAAATCATTATTTCAGCCTTCTGCAGTCCCGTGTGTGTTTGAATCTCTCTCGGGGCATCTGGAAACTCACCAGTCTTTTGCAGAGTGACGCGGTTGTATATTGTCCCAGTTTTCACCTGCCACGCTAACTGGAACAGCCTGAGGGGACAGGCGACCGGCAACCCATAAAGGCGAAAGATAGAAGGCGTCAGACACCAGAAAGCAAAGGACGCAGGCAACACCAGAACTTTACCATAGCAATAACACGGCTTCAAGTGTTTCCAACGGCACTGCGATGCGTGGGGTGGGTGGGTGGGTGGGTGGGTGGGTGGGTGGGAGGGTGGGTGGGTGGGTGGGTGGGTGGGTGGGTGGGTGGGTGGGTGGGTGGGTGGGTGGGTGGGTGGGTGGGTGGGTGGGTGGGTGGGTGGGTGGGTGGGTGGGTGGGTGGGTGGGTGGGTGGGTGGGAGGGTGGGTGGGTGGGTGGGTGGGTGATTGGTAAGCGGGTGTTGAGACGACTCCCTGACACCCCACCTGTTGTTAACGAGTGCGAGCCCTTCACTGAACACCTGACCGCTCTGAGGCACTTTCCTTAGCACCTGCATGGTGTGTGGCGGGTGGTGGGTGGGTGGGTGTTACTTGTCTGAGCAACTTGTGTGGTGGGTGGACATGGTAGACAGCTTCTGGATCAACCAGGGAACGATATTGTGATCAGTCTCTATCTTCTTACAAACCTGATCGTTCCTTCTCGTTAAGCATACCTAAATGAGCATACCTTCCCTGTGGCGACATCAACTTCCCTCAGACTTGACTGAGGTGACATTTTGGTCGACTCAAAGTCACCTTAGAACCTGAACTGAACGTACCATCTAACCAAACACACCCACATGAGCACACCTTCCCTGTGGTGACATCAACTTCCCTCACAGTTGACTGAGGTGGCTTATTAGTCAACTCAAAAGTCACCTTAAAACCTGAACTGAACGTACCTTCTAACCAAGCATACCCACATGAGCATACCTTCCCTGTGGCGACATCAACTTCCCTCACACTTGACTGCAGACGAGGAGGGGGAGAGAGGGAGAGGAACACACAATCGGGGACGAAAAAAACAGGGGCAGAAACGAAAAGCTGCTTGGAAGTATGAACTTGACGCTTCACGTCTAGAATTTACTAAACACCTACCACGGAATTAATGGGGCTTCGTCCTATGCAAGTAGTGCGTCCATTCTAAAGCGGGGATACCTGCCCACGCATCCCAGTTGATTCGTAGAAGATTCCTTCCCCGCTGCTTCTTCCTCCGCTCGCATTATGACTCACGTACAACAAACCCTGTTATGAGGGTGACGGGAGGTGCGGAGAAGGACAATGAAGAACGCATCTATAAGCCGACTCAATAATTATCCCCTTCCTCCGCTCGCATACTAACTCGTGCAGAGGGTAAGAGAGTGTGCAGGGAACAAAAGAAGAAAGGTTTTGAGCCGACCCAAGAACCCTAGACGGCGGCGCTAGCAAACGGACTGTCAAAGGGCACGAAGACGACGAGCTACAAACGACCTGAAAAATCAGCGCTAGAGTGAGAGCGACGGCACACGATACGCACACCGAGTCGCCTCTATCCTAGTCGACGGCGCGAGCAAACAGACTTGCCAAAGAGAATGAAGAAGACGAGCTACGAACGAGGGAAGTTCAGCGCGAGCGACGGCTGACGTGTCACATGGATGCGAACGGCCCATGAATACGGACCTCCGTGAAGGCCGACGTGTCATGCGGGAAAGTCTTCAGTATTTTGAATGTGAGAATATACGGCCACGACTGGCTGGGTGAAGCTTTGTAACTGGCCGGTACCTGCGCTGCGGAGCTAAACCATGCGGAATTTGCATGCGCTAGTGATAGCGCCGCGGTCAAGAGAAGGAAACCTATATTAATGCAGCAGTAATTCAGAAAGCTAGGCTCCATCCTCTAAGACTATGGGAATGAGGTCGCTGTCAGTATGCTTGCCTAATCGCGTGGTTCTACTGATAAGAATGACAGAGCAAGTAAAACTGATGCATTCTAGCAGCCAAATCTCCACTAAAGCCTATGTCAAACTCATGCTGTGGGAACATCAGCGCAGCAATCCCGAGGCTGTGTCAGAGCTGGAGGAAAAAAATCATGTTCGTTCGGTTGAGTACGATACAGTGTAGTCTGGGAAAGTGCAATAAAATCATCGATTCAAACCGCTACTCGCCATTTTTCATGCCCTATGCACGTAGGATCGATGTTCTGCATTCAAGGCATTGGCGTTCAAGTTCCATCCATCCTGACCGTTCAGCGTCAAGGCAAACGTGGGCAGTTGCGCCTCGGGCTGATCATCTTGCTAGCTGGGTCGAAATCTGTGAATCTCATTGGTCCTCAGGCCAGGATCATTTTCAGGACGGTGGTGAGGACACATCTGAACCCAGGTGCGATATTGAGTTCCTTGACACACCAACCCTTCCATCTGAAGTGCGTACACCGAGAAGTGTCCCTCATCGAATAAACAGTTGATAGAATGACCATGGACTACACTCACTAGCCTTATAACAACGAATCATAACCTTCAATACTTTAATACCCCAGACCCGAATTACACAACAAATTCAACGTGGGAATTGTTGGTTCAGAAAACTCCATAAGTAGGTTCGACGGGAAATCATTTACAAATCGCGTAGAATTGGTGTCGGTTTTCCCCTCCCGACCAGGCAAATCGGGCCTTGGGATTTAAGGGTTTGTAGCCATCTGTTTCCGGTGGTTTGAGGGAGTTGTAAACCTGCACCAGAAGATGCTATGTACTGGCAATAATTTATATGTTTTAACAGATTTTGTAAACTTGCTCCCATATGTGTGAAGAGTTTGCACGTGATAGCAGTGCCCCAGAGTAGCAGAGGAGAAGATGGAGTAACGAGCAACAATAGCATCAAGACACGCCTTCCCTGTCTCGACCTGGCGAAAGGGCACCCGCTCGGCCGGCGACAGAAAACGACTAAGGGCAAAGCGTGCAACAACTTCATGCAACTCCCAAACCGAGTACACAAGACGGGCCATGTACTGAGTTGCCTGCTCCTCCGACGTGGGATCAGTACCAAGAGCAGCAAGACGCTTGGGGGCAGGTAGCTGACCAGACACATGAGCGTACAGGATGACGTGGTCCTGGCGCTGGCTCTGCAGGTCGAGCTTAATGTCGAGCAGCCACGCGTCATATTCGATCGCCCGCCCCTCCTCATCAAGCCACAATACAAACTAGGATGCCATAACAGGAGTGAGCAGGGGCACAGCTGCAGCGGATGAGAGGGGACAGCCACAAGCGGAGAAGGAGACGGTCAGAGGCAGGCAGGCAGACAGCGGGTGGCACAGCAGGCGGCGTAGCGACGCGGCCGCGACGGGGCGGTAGCAGGGCCGCGGCTTTAGGCGCGGCAGAGTCGAGCAGTAGTAGGCGCGGTGGCGGGCAGCAGCCACAGGCGTGGCGGCGGGTAGCAAGATCAGGGGCGGCAGTGGGCAGCAGCTGCAAACACGACAGCGGGCACCAGTGGCAAGCGCGGCGTCGTCGAGCAGCAGAATGCGTGGCGGAAGGCAGCAGCTGGAGGCGTAGCGGTGGGCGACAGCTGCAGTCGTACCGGCGGGGCCGAGACGGAGTCGCGACAAGGCGGCGACAGGGCCGAAACGGCGGGAGGGCCACGATGATGCCGCTACGAGGCCGCGGCGGCGGTGAAGTGGCGTGGCCGCGACAGAGCAGCTGTGAGGATCGAAATACTCAATTCAAGATTTTTAGTCATTAATCTAGGGAAAAACACGAGGCTATATATAGGTGTGTCACAAGGCAAGAAACCAAGACGGGAATGTTCGGAGCATCGGAAACCATCAGAAACTGAACCTTCTTGAATCTGGTAGAGATCGGTCATAATCACGCGCACGCTAGGTCACGCGAGGTAACTCTAGAAACCACAATCATTTGGTGCAGGCAATCCTATTTGGTGCTATAAATAAATTAGGAACAGTAACTAGAAGTAAGTGTAGGAAATGAAATAGAAAATAGTTTTCAGGTAAGTCCATGTATAATGGACGGGGTACTCTCACAGTGGCGGCAGGGCGGCGACGGGGCCGAAGCGGGGCCGCAGCGGGGCCATAACGGGGCCGCGGCGGGGCACGAGAGGAGGGGATACAGGGGGGGGCACTAGTGGGGGGGGCATATCAGTACGCACATAGTACTGTTGTCACGAATGCGATAATCAGATTTTTTTCTTCTTAGATATTGAAAGTATAGCTTCAGCAGGCAAGCTTGCTACATGGCTAAGATGTCGTGTCTCGTTTAGGAAATATAGTGTGCCACCCCGGATATAGGCGCATGCCTATATGATAAGCACGTGCGCTTGTACATGGAACTGGAACACTGCGCTTATATTCGGTCCTCGATGGTAAGCACTAATCAAAATTGATATGTGTTACATTATTAGCGCATGATGAAGATTTATTTTGAAACCTGTTAAGAACTGTAACAAGATTCAGTTTTGCAACAAGTCCACATTAATTTTTGGTATCCTTGACCTTCGGAAGGCTCGTTGTAAAAGTGAGTAGTTACTAGGTTTAGAAAGAAGAAGAGGGTTTACTAGAAAGGGGAAGGAGAATTTATCCAAGCAAGAGGCAATGGATAGGAAGTGAACCACCAACAATTGCTAGCGAGAAAGAGGAGAGGAGGTGGGGGGCGGTGGCTGAAGGTGCTAGCACACTGGCAACTGGAGCTACTGGGGTAACGGGCTCGTACGCCTGGAGCATCCCGCTTGTACGGCTAGAGCAACTGACCCTCGGGCGACTGGAGCAACGGGCTCACTGGCAACTGGCGCTGCTGGCTTCACGGCTCCCCCCACCCCCTCAAATCTCTCCCACCCCCCCCCCCCCAAACCTCCCCCCCCCCACAAGGCAGGGCGGTTGGAGCTGACGCAAGCATGGAGGAGGAGTGGAGAGGCGGCTGTTGGAGTGAGGAGAGGGGGAGTGGAGAGGCGGATGCTGGAGTGAGGAGAGGAGGAGGAGTGGAGAGGCGGCTGCTGGATGTCAAACTTATATATGCTATAGTCTGTTTAGGCTGTAGTGGGGTAGTCCTTAGAGGGTACAACACTTTTGTGTTTTCTACTTGTACCCCACCTGTTTCCTAGTTCATCATTCCTCTCGTTTATTCTCACATGGTATAGAGCGGGTTCCCTAGTGGGACCGTTTCTTCCTAAGGGCCCACCACGTTACATTTTTTTTTTTCCTAACCTGCCCGAAGCGCGCTTCGCGCTCCGCCCTCAGCGGCCTGCCCCTTCGCGGCCCCCTAGCGGCCCCTTAGCGGCCCGCCCCCCCCCCTCGCGGCCCCTTAGCGGCCCCCTCGCGGCCCCTTCGCGGCCCCTTAGCGCCCCCCCCCCCTCGCGGCCCCCCTCGCGGCCCCTTAGCAGCCCCTTCGCGGCCCCTCAGCAGCCCATTCGCGGGCCCTTCTCGGCCTCGCCCCGTCGCCCGCGGCGGCCCCGTCCCGTCACCGGTCGCGGCCCCGCCCCGTCGCCACCCTGCCTCGTCGCGCCGCCCCTGCGGGACCCGCGCGGCGTCGCCCCTGCCCGCGGCGTCGCCCCTGCCCGCGACGTCGCCCCTGCTCGCGCGGCGTCGCCCCTGCTCGCGGCGTCGCCCCCTGTCCGCGGCGTCGCCCCTTCCCGCGGCGTCGCCCCTGCCCGCGGCGTCGCCCCAGTCCGCAAAGTCGCCCCTGCCCGCGGCGTCGCCCCTGCCCGGGGCGTGGTCCCTGCCTGTGACGTAGCCCCTGCCTCGTCGCCACCCCTGCAGCAGCTGCCGTCGCCGTCCCTACTGCAGCAGCAGCTGCCATCGTAGCGGCCCTGCTGCCGCTGACAAGCCTGCAGCCGCCCTGCCTGACGCGCCCCGGCCCAGCTCCACCAGTAGCGGTCCACCTCATCCGCCGCTGGTAAGTGCACCGCCACACCTACTTGCTGCTGCACCTGCGCTGCCCCGCCCTGCCGAGTCGCGCTGCTACTGCTGCAGCTGTCGCCCTGCTACTGTTGCTACTGCTCCTACTGCTGCTATGGCTAGTCCTACCGTTCTCACATTTGATGCTGAGGGACGTGCTGTTGACTTTGACGTGTGGGTTGATGACCTACAGCTTTTTCTTCAGTGTGATTCTCGGGATGGGGTATCCCTTTTTGATCACACGTCCGGTGTTTCCACTGCTCCTGCTACCACTGCTGACAGTACTGTTCGCTCGCAGTGGACCACTCGTGACGCTGTTGCTCGTCTTGCTGTTCGTAGTCACCTGCCATCTGCTGAGCGCGCACACTTTGGCCAGTACAAGACCGCTCAGTCTTTGTACGACGCTGTAGTTGCACGCTACTCCTCCCCTGCCACTGCTGCCCTCAGCCGCCTCATGCTGCCGTACCTTTTCCCTGACCTTGCCACCTTTGCCACAGTTGCTGACCTAGTTGCTCACCTTCGCGCTTGTGACGCCCGCTACCGCGCTGCCCTTCCCACTGAGTTCTGTGCCAAGAACCCCCCCCCCCATGTACATCACCCTTTACTACCTAGTCACCCGCCTCCCTGACTCCCTTTATTCAGTCAGGGACCACTTTCTCTCCCTTTGCCCCACCGAGCTCACTGTCGACCTGCTAGAGGAGTGTCTTGCTGCAGCTGAGAAGAGTATCTTAGCTGTAGGTGCTTCTCGCGGCGACCGTCGCACCCCCTTCTTTGAGGGGTGTTCCCCTGTCCCCCTTCTCCCCTCTGT